CGGCTTAGGCTCTGTAGAATTCTAATGATCCCCTCTCAAGTTGGAAGTCAAGTTCCTATAGCCCCCCCTTCTTTATACTCTTATACTCAGTTAGTGACACCTGATCCACCCTACGTTCCCCTGAAAAACATGCATGCGATCCCCCTAATTCTCAACCTCTGCCCCCCTCCCCCGATGATAAAAAGTTCCTGGCCCATAAAGCTGAAACTGCAGAAAGTAAACAGTTAATCCGTGTTTGATACCGGCTTAGTTCTCACCTCACCTCTTGATAGTTTATAGTTTAAACCACTGGACAACATCCCATAGCTTTGAGCTTTAATTTGGACTGATATCTCAACTCCACAAATATTAAGACACGTGTATAAATCTTCCCTTTTTAGATGCCTGTTGATGCCCATGTTACAATATAATTTATTTCCTCGGTCAGCTATGCAACATAGGGTTCTGGAATTATAATAAATACAAGACTTTGTTACTTAGTAACACCGTGCACAAAGCCCTACTGCAGAGCATTGTTTTCAAGAGCAGTTGTGTTCATCTCTCAAACTGTTCACTGCAGTTATTTCATATGGTATGGTACCATATTTCATATGGTTTGGTACCAAACAAACAAGGCGGTGTCAAATGAATGTGAAAAATGAATAATTTGAACAAAATAGCGCCATGCATAGAACAAAAGTGTGACGAATCAGTGTTGTGCGCACAACAAAATGATGTTGCAAAAGAAATAAAGTATGCAAAAGAATTCAGATGTCATCGTGCGGTGTTTGTTAATCGTTGTGATATTAACAGTGTGGTTCAATAATTGAGGAATATCAGTACAGTATGTCTACAGAAAGGGCTTTTGAATCACTCTTGTCACAAAATTACTCTTCATTTATTCTGACAATAGAAAATAAATGGTGTCAGTATCTATCATACTGATAATGGGGTTATGAGATATTTGATTCTCATGCAAGAAACGAATATGGTAGAAGCCATCCCTCAGGTACATGTGTACTATTAGAAGTACCATCTGTTCAGGGCTTAGTACAGTATTTTCAGACTATACACTCCCTCAGTGACAATTATGAACTGAGAGGAGTGCAGCGAAGTACATATGAAATAATTGCAGTGAACAGTTTGAGAGAACACAACTGCTCTTAAAAACAATGCTCTGCTGTAGGGCTTTGTGGAGTTGAGATATCAGTCCAAATTAAAGCTTAAAGCTGTGGGATGTTGTCCAGTGGTTTAAACTATAAAAAAAAAAAAAACGTTGGAAAACTTAATTTTCAACAACTACAGTGGAAATACGGGGTTTTTATAGTGGCTTGCAAGTTACTGTTAGGTATTACTCGCATTTTTCAACAAACAGTCAGAGCAAAGTACATGTTCTCCTTATTGACCTATGAAGATACTTGTGAACTTGCAAATTATACAACAAATGAAAATAAGTGGTAAACCATCATTAGAACAAGCTATTTCTAACATTCATATTGATACAAAGAAACTTAAAACAGGTATTGTTCACTATGAAGTACAATTTTTGTCTTGCACATCTAACATGGACCTTCATCAAATCAGACACATGCAAAAGCACAGACGAAAATATAATTATGATAAATATTGTAAGAAATAGACAACTTTTTTGAGAGACAGTTTCGGCATGCTTATGCCATCTTCAATCAATGAGTGACAGAACGTGGGTAATTATATACCAGACAAGTAGATGAATAAAATATTTACAGTATGTTGAAACACAAAAGCAGGTATTAATTACGTGACACCAAACATCAAAGGTGTGAACTAAAACGCAAGAAAAGTGTTATAATGCTGTGATTGTTTGTTAAGTTCAGGTTTGATCTTATTTATATGAAAAGCTTCTTTGAATTTTAAATCAATTGAGTTGTTAGCAGAATCCAGAATACTAAAGCAAGAAAGGGAGTATTTGTTCTTACAAGGAGATGTGTTGAAATGCTTAAAAATATGCGAGTTTTTATCGTTTTCCGTGTGCTCCTTTATCCTAGTAGAGAAGTGGCGACTAGTTTCGCCAATATAACGGTGAGGCGTGAGTAGTCCAGTGGTCAGTGCGCTGGACTCTGGGTTAAACGGCCCGGGTTCAAGTCCTGGCTGGGGCTTAACGTTGAGTCCTTAAGCAAGACACTTCACTCACATTGTTTCGTCTTCTCGGATAGGACGTAAAGCCGGAGGTCCCGTCTCTTAAAGGGTAAGGGGTAAGAGACGTTAATTTCCCACGCACGAGATTACTGTGTGCTGGATGTCCT